GACACTCAAGCTGTCCCTGCAGCTCTGCCCGGACATCCTGCGCGGGCCCCGGCACGGGGGCGCGGGGGTCCCGGGGCCGCCGAACCTTCCCTTGCCCTAACGCCCTCGTAGCCCGAAAGGCGAGGGACTGCCTCCCAGGGTCCGCAGCAGGCAGGTTGCTTGTTGTCTCTTTGCTTTAAGTTATGCCTTCATACTTTTTTCCCACAACACAGCTGCCGAATAAATAGCTAGTTGCCTTTTTTTTTTAAAAAAAAGTTATGTATGCCGGAGATCTCAATACAAGAAGTAAGTACCTTAGAATTTTCTGATATCCATAATGTACACTGCTAAAAGTAGGGTACGACCAGGGTGTGTCTGTGCATATTTATGCATGAGAGTCACTAAGTGATTTGAGTTTTGGTTCAGATTGCCAACGTAATTACTTTCTGGTAAGGGCAAATATTGCAAGATCTTATAAATAGTTCTTGGTAGTTTTCCTAGTTACATGTACGTGAATATAGTTACCCGAATTGGCGATTTCCAGTTTGCTGGTGCCCACTGTTACCCGTGTCTTTGTTCCTATTTGACACAGCTCTTGTTTACTAACTGGCTGCTGGCATAGGCAGAGGAATAAAGACAGAGACCCTTTAGCAGGGAAGAAGGACCTGGCACGACGGGTGTGAGGTGTGTCTGTGCACCGACAGCAGCAGCAACAGCTTCTTAGGATGTTAAGGCCTGCCAAGGAAACGGATGTTTTTTCTCTCCAAAGCGTACACAAACCATTGGATAGTAATTTACTAAACATAAGTGGAAGGGAAAAGTAGGTAGATGTTGTGGACTTATTTTTCTGCTTGGAGTTAGGAACTTTCAATGAAATCCTTTCCACTGATGAGCTTATTAATTAGCTTATTTAAATTGAACGGAGCTGCAATTTCAAAGCGGTTCTGGAACGCCAACTGAGAGTGACCAGTTTGTGCTATACTCATGCAAACAGCAATCCCAAGAGGATGGTTTTCTTCATTAAGGAATATACTTGAGCACAGTAAGACTGTACAATAAAAACTGAATTAAGTAACATTCGAAACAGAAACCTGAGATGGATCATTGGGGTTTGGGTTTTTTTCCATTCCTGCAGTGGTTCTAAGACATGTTCTTGGATGTCATGTTCACTTTTTAAGTCGACTTACTTAAATTATTTGCAGTGCTACAGAATTTTACAGTTGACCTGCATAACTGGGTTTCGTAGACATGATCTACCACCTCCACTTTTAAAATAACTGTTTTAGAATATACTTTATATGCATTTTCAGGAAAGAGAAGATGCAGCACATGCAGATATTGTTCCCAGTTGAATTACTGTGTCAGAGAATTAAATGAAGTGTAACTGAAATTGTCTCCTATTACTAAGGTATTGCTGAAATCCTAATGAACCGACCCCACGCAAGAAATTCATTGGGAAAAGTATTTGTAAATGAAGTGAGTATGGGCCTGGCCTGTGAACATGTTTGGAATCATGATCAATAACTAAATGCAATAAGAATAGTTGTGGGAGATCTGAAACAAAACCTTAATCTCTTGCTGAAGGTCAGTGGGAGACTGCATTGGGGCAAGGCAGGTTAGCCTGAAGAAAAAGCGATCATGATATGTCTATACTGCAGTAACTTCAGGTGCGGACTGGACAGAAATATTAGAGGAGTCACTTAAGTTAGCTAACTCCGATGCAAGTTAATGTCCTCACTTGCATAATTACAGCAAAAACATACTCATTGTCAGACCTTAGCAGATGATCTGTTCAGGGTTGATACATTCTAGACAAAGTCTGGCTCATGCCTGGACAGGGGAGTTTAAGATACAGCAAAGGTTCATCTCTGAATGGAAGAAAGAGATGGGGAAACGTGTAACTCTCAGACTGTCATGGAAGGATCCTGCTTGCTCCACATCTGTGATTTCCAGGAAATTCCTGGCACCTGCAGGGGGAAAAAAAAAAAAGAAACTTTTATCATAGATTAGGAGCTTGCTATAATTTAGGTATATACATCTGTATGCTTAAAGTTGTTGTTCTCTTGCTTGTACTCCCTCCCTCGTAGCTGTTCAGTGCTCTGGAACAACTCCGCTTTGATGAGAAGGTTCGCGTGGTGCTGTTCAAGAGTGAGGTGAAAGGTGTATTTTGTGCTGGTAAGTAGCAAAGGCTTTTCAAACTCTTGTTAAAAAATTTGACGTCTCTTAGGGCTGTGTGCTGATCAGATCACACAGAAAAGCAGTTGGAAATGCCTGCTGAAAGAAAAATGGGCTCGCTTTTGTGTAGCAAATAACAAACACATTGTTATCTCTTTTGCCTCTCTGTCTCTCAGTTTCAGCGATGAAGACGTGTGTGATGGAGTGAGCCACAAAGGCTGTGTGGTGCTACTACTTGTTTTCCATCTATAACCATCTTCAAGGACAGGTGCCTCTGGTATTGGAGTCCTTGGTTTCAAGTTTTATGGATTATTGTCCTTACATACAGTGACTGGTGCTCCTCTGTGAAGTCTGTTCAAAGGGCACAGAGGAGCACCCTAGCCACTGCTCCAGCTCAAATGTCCACACTCCAGCTTCCACTGACCTTACTTAACTGGAATACTGACTTCTGAAGTGGTCGGATTTCTGGGATGGACCGGAGGAAACACAGTTCAGATGTCTTTTCCCTGTTCTGGATTCTAAGCTTTTTCTCCTCTATTTAGGTGCAGACTTAAAGGAGCGTGCAAAGATGGATGATGCAGAAGTTGGACACTTTGTTAAAAGGCTGAGAAGTCTCATGGATGAAATAGGTAAATTATTATCTTGGTTGGGAAATTTGTCCTAGACTGCCTGTACTGAGACATTTAGAAGTGCTGCAGGAGGGGAAGGATGCTAGCCCCAGCAGGTTATCCATTTAGGAGTAACTTCCCAGATGGCTCCAGCTTATGCCTAAAACAAAGATCTGGTTAGAATTAAGTACCAGCTATCCTGCTGCCACTGCAAGGAAAAGATGCATTTCAGTACTGCTTTTTCCATGCTGAAGAGCAGCACACACCATTGAATATAATAAGTACCTGCTATAACAACATATTCTATATAGAGTTCTGTGTAATCCTTGGGAGACTGTGCTAGACAAAATGAGTAATGTTGGTTGTCCCACTTTTAATACACACTCTGAAACACTCATGATATGGAGATAACCTAAGAACATGGATTTTGATCTCTGAATGGATTTGTTGAACATCAGGGGTTTTGTAGCTACAGCTCCCCCTGCCCCCCCGCCCTTTTTTTTTTTCCCCGAAGGAATATGGACTTCTGCAATTGATTTTCTTCCCCTATCTATGAATTACTCTGCTTTCAGTAGAGAGGAATACCAAAGTGAAATCTGACTAAAATACCAATCAGAATTACAAAACAAACAACAATGTAAAGAGAATGACCCTGTCTCACAAACCAGAGAAGCAGTCGGGGCAGGAGGGGGTGGTAGTTACAGCACAAGAACTAACACACGTCTGAAGTCTGCTTCCAGCTCCCTGAGTATTTAAAAAGGTATCTTATCAAGCAGCTAATCGCCCGGTACCTCAGGTTCCACAACTATGAGGTGACAACAGTGTGTACCAAGTTAAGGAGCCTTGGCTAACAAAAGCACCAGAAAAGCTAATCCTTGTAACAGTGACTAGAGACGATGGCTTTGTTTTGACTGTTTAACTGCAATAGCTGGATATTTGTGTCAGAAATTTGCAAGGAGACAATTCATCATATTTTGTGTTGCAGTACCTTGTATTTGCCTGCTTCTTTGCATGTAAGAATGTTTTGCATTCTTCTTACAGAGAAGGGAGAAGTGTGAAAAGGCACAGTTTCTACTATTTAGACAGTCAGAAAGTTTGCGGCAGAAGATGAATTCTTGAACAATTTTGAATTGGAGAACTACTAAAAGCTTTAGAATTTAAGCATTTAAATTCCAGAAGTGAGTGGAACAGAAATTCTGGGATGTAACTATATAATCTGTGTTGTCTTCTCTAGCTGCCTTGCCTGTACCTACAATTGCTGCAATAGATGGCTACGCTCTGGGTGGTGGATTAGAGCTGGCATTAGCTTGTGACCTTCGAGTAGCAGGTTTGTGTGATGCTTAATGTAGGATTCTTGTAATCGGTGACTATATTTTAATGAGAATTTAGACACATGATAGCTGACTGTTCATGGTATCCAGTAGGCTAAGAGAGGAACTTACACAGTTCAGGAAATGAGTAGGCATTTGTCCAGAAATTGTGACATTTAGTTACTATTAGGAAAGCAGTTTCCTTGCTTAAAAAGTAAAGCCTATTTTTAGACAGGATTAGGATTCCTTCAGAAAACTGTTTATTGGTACAATTAAATAGTTACAATCATGTAATACTGGATTAGCACTCTGGCTAGATCTAATCTTCCCTACTTAAATCAGCTTGGAGTGGAATCTTTCCTCCTTCTGTTTCCATTCTTCCATTACATTTCATCTAGGATGGACCCAAGGTTCATTTTTCTAGATAAAATTGTTACATTAGGGGTACGCAGCCATACTACACATCCTTCATCTGACTTGAGACAGACACTGATTAAGCACTGTAGTATTCAGACTTTCTAGCTACCTGGAGAAAGGGAGCTCCACTTCAGTATTACACAGTTTGCAGTTTTATTAATCAGTTCAGTATGGAAAATTTGTAGTTCTACAGATCAAAAACTAAACCCTATCTTTACTTTTTTAATAGCTTCATCAGCTAAAATGGGCCTTATTGAGACCACAAGAGGGCTTCTTCCTGGAGCAGGTAACCTTCATTAAATCTTCAATCTCTTACTTTCTCAGCTTTATATTAAATATTTTGCCATTAGAGCACTTAAAGTGTTTTGAATGTAAATTAAAAGTAGCATCTTGCAGTGACCAAAGAGATCTATGAATCCAGTGTTCTGTTCCAAGCCCTTTCTCAGACTTGCTATGGATTTAGGGAAGTCTCTTTATGCCTTTTCCTGTTTACCAAAATCCTCAAAAGGATGCTGAAGCCTTTCAGATGCCTTGCAAAATGCTGACACACTCAGCTATCAGTTATTAAAGAAACACATGGTCCCTTTGTTTTTCAAACCTTCTTGTTATATAAGAGAGAAAATACTGTTGGTTTTTTGGCATTTCTCCTAAATGGAAAATGGTGGTTTTGCTGTTGTCGTAAGGTGGAACCCAGCGCCTGCCTAGATGTGTTGGAATAGGTCTTGCAAAGGAACTCATTTTCACTGGCAGACAGATTGATGGACAACAGGCCGCTTCAATGGGATTAGTAAATCACACAGTGCCACAAAACAATGAGGGAGATGCAGCTTACCAAAGAGCGTTAACTTTGGCTAGAGAAATCCTTCCTCAGGTAAGTGTATTATTCATGTGGTCAGTGTAAAGAAGGCATTTCTGCTTCCCCTAAGAGAGAGCAAACAACCCACTGAAATTCCTTTCTATGAAATTAAATTAAAGTCTTGGTTCCCGATATTTAAGTCTCTTAACTGTCCTTTTTTGTAATGCAGTTTCTGTAGGAACAAGTGTTAACATCCAGCTGCTTAACCCATAGGACAGTTTTACCTCCCAGATGCAGTTATGCAGACATGCAGGACACACTGAAACCTTGCCCCACGCACATCTGTTAACTGTAGATAACCTCAAATTGTTTTTTAAAAATACTTATTAACTTACTGCAAATTTCTATAGACTCAAAGGTCATTTGGAGGTAGGATAATGATATAACAACTGCACTATTATGAACTGATGTGGCTTTAATTATTTTTAAATGTTTGTTGTGTTTTGGGGTTTTTTTTCTTTTAATAAAGGCTCCATTTGCTGTGAAAATGGGAAAACTGGCAATAAACAGAGGAATGGAGGTAATACTTTTTTTTTTTTTTTAAATACTGAGGTAAATGAAGCAGACAGGCAGCTCTTACAAATTACTACAGTAAAAACAGTTAGAACAGGTGAGTTACAATCCTTGTTTAGACAAGACATTTAAAACTGTTCTAGGGGTTTTAAAGATTTGCTTTGAAGACAAATTAATGTGGCAGGATTTTTTTTTCTACAGATGCTAGGACTGTAGTTCTAATACAGGAGTGAAGGTGACTCGCTACAAGTGAATGCTTATTGATTTGAGGGCTGTACTTCAGACAAATCTCACTCCTTCCCTCTCATCCCCAGGTTGACATTGCGTCAGGGATGGCTATTGAGGGGATGTGTTATGCCCAGGTAGGTTACCTTCAGAATACATTCCTGAAAGGAACACCTGTGCATTTTCTAAAGCCAGGTATTCACAGCATCCTCTTTTATTTTCCTCTCTATATAAAGGAACACTAACAGCTGAATCCAAAGCTTTGAGAATATACTTGCGTGCAGTTCCAGATACCTATTTCAGAGTATTAACTGTTGGCATCGTGCATAGCTGCTTCTCAGCCTGCCTGAGACCAAAGTCCTTCCTTAAATACCATTCTGTCTAAAGTAATTGTATATTCTTAGTTTCAAAAATATGCTAATTATAGGATGAGCTTTACAAATGGTTTTAGTTTTAGCAAATTAAAAAAACAGATTCCTCCTGTAGTCATTCTTTCTGACAAGGTTTGAGAGCATGCACCTTTCTCAGCTAATGGAACAATGTAGCTCCTGTGCCTCTCAGGGTATTTTAAGACGGCAAACTATTAAATTTTTGGAAAACTTGTTTTCCTATATAGTTCTCTGGTCTATGGTCTTTGTCTTAGATGCGTTGCTTGTGATTTACACTACAACCCAGTCTCTTTATTTTCCTAATGTGAAGGGCTGAACTTAATATATCACTGAAAGAAAAGCAATCTTAGTCTTAGACCACTACTGCCAAATTAGTCAGTACTTAAAAACGCATCAGACTTGTCAATGAAAAACATACCACCAATTTTTTTTTATTTTTTTTTTAAATGTAGAATATTCCCACAAGAGACCGTCAGGAAGGGATGGCTGCCTTCAGGGAGAAACGACCACCTCAGTTTATCGGCAAATAATGCTTCCTAGCTTCCCCTTGATTTTTTGAAGGTAAAGGAGGACTGAAGAGGACCCTCTGATTTCTTGGGATTATTCTTATGACTGCATTCTGTGTACTTCTGAATACTCCACTGAATCATTTTGCCATAAGAATTCCCAAATAAAGATTTAACTTTGTACAGATGATCTTTTTAAAGGGCATACATCTTAAGTCGGTGGTTATGGCCCTCAAACAGATGTCAAGTAAGGAGAATGGAGAAGCTTTGAATCATCATAAGCAAATTGAAAAAAAAAAAAAAAATCAGGAAGCATGCTGCATCTAAACATTGATAGGAAAAAAAAAAAAGTCCCTGTGAAGAGAAAGTAAACTTAGAAAGAAAGAAAACCTTTCTAAGTTTGCTTCCCATTATCAGTGCTCTTCTAACTAATCAGACAGAACTAGCAGTATTAACGCAGAGTGTTTCACCCCAGATCTGCTGTGAGTAGTTACCACCATGCTATCATTCCAGCCAACTGAACTTAACATCTCTTTGGTATCGGTGCTTGAGAAAATGCAAGGCCTGTATGTGCATATATAATGGCCACCGTATCAGCCTATGCCAGACATCTCAAGCATGTCACCACTCTCCCATTGCCTGTTTTCCCCTCTGTTGCCTGACTGGAAGTTGAAATCACTATCTCCCTCTTCTTAGAGGTTCTCCAGCACAGAGACGTACCACACAGTTTAGCTCTATGGCTTCTTACTTCCCTAGACCGGGGCTTTCAAGCAAAAGTGAGTTAGTACATTTCTCTAAATGTATTTTTAGTAAATATTTTATAGGTTATCAAAATATACTTCAAAAGTGCGCCTTACCTCATTGGAACTGGGCATCAATTCATGTTATGATGGTCTTAAAAAGCACACCACAATTTCATTTGTGCGAAAAGTTAACCAAACAATTCTGCAGGTGAGATAACCGTACCAGATTATATATGTAGAAGTTTCTTACGTAAAGATCTGCAAAAGTAAAGCAGTCATGATCTTCAGCCTTCACAAAAAAAAAAGATGGCAAATGCCACAGGTGAAATACAAGAGTTTAAAAGTTGCTTCCAGAATTACTCTACCCTGGCAGGAACTCCTGAAGCTGCACAGGAATGTGAAGAGACCTTTCTGTAACTGGCACATGCAAGTAAATTGAGTGGATTTATACCTTGTAGGCATTCATACTTTTCAGCTTAAAAGAATGCTGCTCACTGTTTGTTCGCCTGAAACACATAGGAACAAATCAAGAAAGGTATAGAAAATCATTTATAATCTCTGTGCTTGCTGGTTGCAGTGACATCTTCACCATCTGGACTGATGCCAGTATCACATTCAGTTTGTGCTGCATGTAATTGTAGATATTTTTTTTTTCCCCATGGTTTTAGTTAAGATGCTTCAGCAAGTTCTCCTGTTATTAGGAAAAAACAGTACTGTAAGGAGAGTTGTCATCTTTATTTTAAAATCTTGTAGTAAGTGATTTATATTCATTCTATTAACACCAATTCCAACAAGCTCTGAGTTCCATTTCATGTAACGGAAATTTTGTAGTAGAAGTACCATAGCAGACATCTCAGAAGGGTGGCAGGTAAAGGCTTGCAGGCCATTTTTCATTTTTTAAACCACCTTCCTAATTCAAACCTACAACCAATTTAAATTGCTTTCTGAATCAAGAAAACTGTATATAACCAGATACACACATGAAAATGATGCTAGCCAAATTATACCTTCATACAAAAAGCAATTATACAACATTGATTAAATTACTGGATCAGTACCTTTTGAAGTTGCTGAAATATACAGTAACTAGATTATTGAAGATTAGAGGTGATGTTTTTATTTGAAGGATGGGAGTTGGGAGACGGAAGGAGTTAAAAATAGTAAAATATGGTCATGATGAGGAAGCCATCCCTGCTAGTAAGCTACCAAACATCCAATGTATTTACAGAAGAGTCTCTGAATATGGATCAGTTGCCATGGAAATATGGAGACTAACCAGGTAAACAAAACCAATACCTGAAATAAACCAGAATTTGAACGGGCATGCAGTTTGCTTCCATCACTTGTATTTTATCAGCCACCTGTATGCTGTGCAATGTTTCATTCAAAACATGATTTGAAACCCATAGGTAACCAAGAAAGAAATAAGTTGTTACAGTTAGCATCTTTATGTAAAATTTCACACTCCACAAAACAATGAGATTGACACAGGGCTTACACAGAACAGTGGGTGATATTTTGCACTGTGATGACTTCGAAATATAATTCACTGCACAATACTGACAGAGTATTTACAGAAAACAGAGCAATCATTAGTCTCTTATAAATAAGGTGACCAAATATCCTGGGCCTCCTGGCAAGACATGCAATCCCTTTCATGATGAAGGCAGGTCAGTATTTTGCCCTAATGAGCCTTCTCCCTTCCCTCTCAGAAAAAAAAAAAAAAAAAAAAAAAGATACACACACACGCCCCCAAAAGTAGTCAAACAATAACAAATTCCCCTTCTTGCTATCAAGTTTAAAATCTCAAGCTTAGTTCATCCTTTTAATATTGAGTCTCCTTTTCATCCTGTTTCTATTGCTTTACTTTTAGCAAGTTTCCCCTTTCCCTGATGTAATGCAGATCCCACCTTCCTGAGAGCAGGGAAAACTCAGAAGAGCTGAACTGCAAAAAGGCATTGTTCTAGCAGTAAGGAAAACAAAAGAACACAGCTTGCAGGCAAAAGAAAAAGGAAGTTGAAGACCCCATTTGTGTTTAGAAGGGTTATGAGACAGTGGACATTTTGGTCGCCTTAGTTACAAGTCTCGTAACCTGCATGCATGTACTTTTGTTTTAATCTGTGAAAGTGTTGAATCTCACAAGCACACACAGTTCTATTCAAACACCAAACTGGTAAACAATGTTAGGAACAGCAATCATAGGGATGAAATAACTTTCTCTCCCAGAAGTCACAAAACAAGATATTCCTAGAAGTTGTCTTTCAGATGTGCATATAGATCTGTACAAGTCCCATCTCTCTGTAGCCAGCAGTAATCCTACAGGTATGACCAGCTCAAGCAGTGACCCTTTACAAGTTGCATATGCGGTTGCCATTAAAGTTGACATTCACCAAAGGTACATGGTTCTGGGTGCCACAATTATCGGCCAATCACTTTAATGGTGACCACTATATTACAAGTTACTCCCAACTACACACACGTCAGAAAGGATTATTACAGAGACAATACTTTACACTCGTATACCTGCAGCTTTCAGTTTGGTTTATTTTGTTGCTGTTTTCTACATGGAGGTGGTCTCCCATGACGCATAATGTGTTTTTCCAAACTATCCAGGATGGCAATAGCAATCCTTTGGACATGTGGATCAGTCTGGACGTTTTCCTTGATGTTGTATAAGTGTTGTAAACCACCTTCTTCAATTAACATGCTGCAGTACCTGGCAGCTGTAATAAGATTTTTAAAAAGGGAATTAAAAAAAATAAAATATCTAGGGTAAATGTAGCAGACACTGTGAACAGTGCTTCAAAATCGACTTGCATCTCATAGACCAGGCAGCATTTAGAACACTCCCTAAAGTGTCTGCAGAAGTGCATTTGTACTTCACCAAGTGACAACGTAACAACAGAGTTGTTTGGACAGGACTACAATTGTAATCAGATCTGATTCCATGCCCGTCTTAGCTGAATGGAAAGTGCCTTGTAATACACACGGTATTCGCTCTCTCCCCCCACCTCCTCTACAGGCGTTTTAAGTGCACACATACAAGTTTTAAGAAATGGGAATCAGAAGTACTATAGTATCTATGAGTACCCAGGTAAAAATACCACTTTTGCCAAAAACCTTGGTACAGAACAGTTACCAAAAAATGGTATCAGTTATACCACATCATTTGTGCAGGCTTGTAGAGTGAATCGGAACTAGCTCCTTTGAAAACAGTTTGCCAAATACCATTGATAGTGGACTTCAACTACTTATAAGTTGCTATGAATGCCTTTTCAGGGATAAAATTACATTTTTCTTTCCACTTCCATTATCGATTTTAGAAGGTTGAAAGGGCACCTACATCAGCTCCAGTGTTATTACATGCAGGGACCAGCTATAAAAAGAGTCACATGTTTAATGTAACATGCAAGCTTCAGAAGTTGTTACAAAGAGGTCAGGACGACTGTAATGCAATCCACATAACGTTACCTCAGATGTGCCCAGTTTCACCATTCATCTCGGTGAAGCAACACCAGAGTTTAAATGCTGACATTAAGCATTTCACTGGGGATCACATTTACTGCAGTGCTACTAATATTTTAGTTAACTCATTGTGGATATGATATAGAGAAACAGAAAAGAGAAAAAAATAAACAAGAAAAATCAATCCCATTAATTCCAGACTACTTTTCACCCTCATGTAAAAGAGGCAGTCAAAGTAAGATGCATCTTCTCTCCAAGACAAAAAGCTGCCTTGGTGCCAAGCAGCAAAAGCTTAGGATTTTCCCCCTCCAAATAAATCTCCATATTTCAGAATTAAATGCATTTCCCCTCAGAGTAGGTTATTATATTTGGTTTCTCTGCAACTTTGTCTAGAAGCTTCTGGCACCAACTACTATCAGAACTAAGCTTCAGGAATACTGTCATGATCTCAAATCAGGAGTATGCCATCCAAGTATTTCCAGCCTCTCCATTCTACAGAACAGTTATTCACTGTCAATACAAACCTCTGTGGCATGTTGAAAGCCCAGAGGTTAGGGCAGCACAGAATAAACAATAAAAATAAATAGAACAAATAGGGCCATACTAAGTTAACAGGGCTGAGGCACAAAGAGGGGGAGAAAGCTTGTTTTAATTTCATTAATACAGAGTTACAAGGTCTTAATCAAAAACTATTACCCAGAGTCTGACCAGTAAAACAACTTTGTCAGAACAGTCCTACTTCTACGTAGGAAAAGTCCTCACAGATCTCTGGACAGTGTGTCCTGGGAACAGTGGCTCATTACAGTTACGAGCTTTATAAAGAGTAGGAAAACAGTACTTTCTGTGCAATTATGTATTATGCCATGTTATTGTTTGGTCCTGAATAAATGTCTTTTCACTGTAGAAATAGTGATTTATGGGACAGGAATAAACAAGCATAGATCTACTGCTGTCAAGAAGATTAAAAGAACGGCACAGAAAATACTTTTAATACTTTAGAGGAAAGCTGCTTTATATCTGGTAGAAGTTAACGGCAATACACACATTCACGTCACACAAATTTATGAAAAAAAAAAAAAAAGATTAAAAACCAGGAAGGTTTGTCCAGTCTTACATTTATGTATGCTCAAGGGATTTATTTCCTTTCCCAACACTTGTGCATTTCGTCACATGCTCTCAAATCATTTTACAAACAAAACATTGGTGTTCTCATTTTGCAGATGGGAAAAACAGATTAAGAAACTGACCTTCATGTCACAGCAAATTATTGCACAAAGGCGATGAGAGACAAGGATTACCTAAAACTTCTGTTCTGATAGTAAGAGATAGCTACCTGCTAGAATCATTGTTCTTAATTTAGAAGAAATTTGTTGCCTTTTATTAATATTTACATTTCTGAACAAAAACACCTGTGCCAAAAATGTAGTTAATCTTAAAACATGTCCACTTTTTGGAATCAATACTGTGCATGTAACAGTAAAATTCCAGTAAATAAAAAGGAAATAAAGAATTTTTATTACTCTCTTTTCCTGCCCCATTTAGTCAAATGTAATTTCTCCAGAGGATTAAGAGTGAATACTCTAGGAATTCCTATTTTTCTCACTTCATGCTAGTGAATAATATGCTAAGAAGTAAGAATTTTAAGGGTAATATTATCTTAATACATACGATTTTTGCTGCAGACGTGCTGCATGGCCCACACTGCCCATAACTGGACACCAGGTGTCATGAAACAACCAAGTAGAGGAAAAAACGGATTGAAAGACCTGTAAAAAAGGAGAGGAACAGCAACTCGCTTTACTACTGGATATTATTAGTTCAGAGGTCATGTGTTGTCTACTCATTCAGCCACAGGCTTAATAAGGAGAGACACTTGATAACCTAGAGTTTTAGATGCAACAGGTAAGCCTTTTAATGTTTAAGGCAATTACTAGCAAAAGTCATCTATAGTGGATAGGGGGTATGCTTTTACCATAGCATTTGGATGCCTCCTGCTCCTTAAAAACAGGAGTAAAACCAGTGGAAATTATAAGGATTAGATGAATAGTAATTATGTAATTGCACTTTTTGGCCTTAAGCTTCTTTATTTAGAACAGATAGTGCTAACCTAGTGCTAGTCAATACAACCTTACTGGTTAATCTTTGCTTCCGAGTCTTTTAGATGTGCAGCTGAATACCTTTAATAGAAAAGCAGGCAGAACAACATATTTTTCTTTTACAGGAGTCCCTAGCCTTCTTTTGTCACAAAGGGAAAATTAACATGCTGTATATTTTAAGCTGATAGGTGTTTTTCCACTGAACAAAGCCATGTTTGGCTAGCAGCTCACTCTGTTTTGGGAACAAGATTTAAATCTAGTTCAATTGATTTTCCAAACTCTAAATCAAGACAATAGTTACCTGTAAGCCACCATCTCACATTCTGGGGTTGGCCAATTCAAAATGGCAGAATGCTGCAAAATACAGAACCAAGAATGCTCATTGTTAAATACAAACATTGAAAAAAAATTAAGGAGTATGATAAAATTCACCGTCATTTCTGTACCAGCTGTTCAAGGAGAGATGTCCTCTGGCTGCGACTTAACGTCCAGGCCTGCTCTCCTCGAGATATCAAATGAGCAATAATCCCTGCTGCGAAGTAGCTAACTTCCACCTCCACACTGTGCAATAATTTACTGATGTGGTCTATAAAGTCCTTCCACATTAATTCAGAATGGAGTTCTTTAACTTCAGCTATGTTATTCTGGAGGGGGAGAGAAATGAAAGGAGAAAATATCAACAGAAAGAATATGACATGAGGGAGATAAACATATGAACTTGAACTACCTTGTGTAAGTAAACACATATAAACACCAGGATGAGATCTTCATACATCCAGGTGACCACCAGATGTCAAAATATTACTTTTGTTTTTGAAAACTTTTCCAGTCCAATGCAGGAATTTGCCTCAAAACAAAGATGTTTTCTCATAAGTAATTCTAGGCCATTAGCATGCAGATTACACTAAATTAAAGGCTAATTTTAACATTCTCAAGCACACTCAATTTCAGTAAACTTCAGCAGTGCACAATTCTGAATTCCATTGATTTTCAACCTACTTTTTGCATTTGGACTCATCTGAAGCCTCACTCACTACCCTTTCTTAAAAGCTCTTTTTGTTTACTGTAACCATCAATTTCAATATAACTAGTGCTTTTGGAGAATTGGTAAAACAGTCCAAAACAATGTCAGTTGTGAATAATGCACACTA